AGCAGTGAAATGATCTCGATATTTCTATCAACTGAGTGCTCAGAGATGAGATTGCTCACCTCAGAATGAAGACCCATGGACCATGTGCTGTTGGAAGGCTTTGAACCATTGAACAACCAAAGCAGCTTGGGTTGTCCCAGTGTTTCAGCCTTGCTGAATACAGGCTGAATATCTCTGAACAGCCAACCCTTGGCTGAATCAAGGTCAGCTGGGCACGATTCAAGATGGAAAGATATGCTGTGGGTTTTGTGGGTCATTCAAGGTGATTTTAAACTCTCCTTTTCCAACCTTGATCTCTATGGATGCGTTAACTGATTTCCTGGGAACTACCGTGGTTGGAGATAAAACTTGAATCCATGCCTGAGTTTGATCAAAGGCTCGTGTGCTAACTCCCACTGCATGCAGGACCTTTCCCTCTGACCCTTGCTGAGCTCTGGGCCGGCCACTCATTGGCTTGGGGAAACCATTCCGACTTTGGAAAAACTGAGGCTTAATTGCTGCTGCCTCTTATCATTAGAGCAAGATTTTGGAGCATTTTTTTAGTGTTAGAATGTATTTGGCTTCTGCTAGGAGTATAATGTTGTGGTAGGAATATCTGCATCTTGCTAATGTCAATTTTCCTGTGGTTTCTTTGAGGATTATCTGTAATCCTTGGGCCAGATTCTCTCTGTGTGTGAATTCACCACTCTACTTGTGTTAATGATGCTGTGCCAATTAGCACTGCTGGCTTACCAAGCCCAGCTCTGTCCAGCTCCCACGACAGGTTGGTGATGGCGCAGGCCATTTAGCAGTGCTCAGCCTTGGTGCACCCAGGTGCTGGTAGCTGTGCTGGGGAAGGGTTTGATCCCCTCCCTGTGTGTAACCTTCACTCCTGGGTGCAAGCTATGCTCCATCCCTGTGAAGCTCAAATTGTTACTGAAAATATGTGAATCAGAATGAATCCATGCACTGGGAATGAAGTCTTTGTCTAGCAAGGTGTCTTTTATTTTTTGGTGACTAGTGTTCTGATTAGTGTTGCATGTAAGCTTGAATTTTTCTTTCTTTTTTTACATGCTCCTTTTGAGGAGCAATGTTGCAAGTGGATTTTGAGCTAACGGAACTGAGGCTGTAATTGTGTGGTTCACTGGAGCTGGATTTGAAGCAACAGAGGTATTTGGTCTCTACTGACAGATTGTCCTTCCCTCATGGTCCCCAGCTCCTCTGCAGCCTCGCTGTCACCTGCTGCTCCAGTCACTCCAGGCTGCATGCAATGCTGACATTGGGCTGTGATGTCCAACATCAACTGCGATGTCCAGTGTTGGGCCATGATGTTTCGCATTGAGCTCTGATGTCCAACACAGGGCTATGATGTCCAACATTGGGTTGTAATTTCCAACACTGGGCTGTGATGATGTCCAACATAGGTCTGTGATGTCCAATATCAGCACTATCAGTTTGCAGTTTGGTCTCCAGCTCTGACACTGGAGGATCTGCTGAGGCTGTGCTATGCACAACTGTCTCCGTTAACAGCTTCCATCCTCCTTGTTGATGAAGTCTTCCCCAGCTGTTGTATCGAAAGAGCTTGTAGATCTTGTTTGTGTGGAGCAGGAAGGGATACAGCTGCTGGTAAAGACAGTTCTCTCGCTATTGGGATAGTACCTGAGATACAGGTAAAATGAGAGGGAGTTCACTCTCTATATGGTCCAAAACAGATGGTCCTGAGAGTAAATCTGACACTGTACTGCCTTTATTCTGGGTGTAGAAGGAACCTATGTGATGTCAGCTCAGACCCACCAGCAACTGAACAGAACAAGGTCATGCTGACTGTTTGGAGGAGCTGGGACAGCTTTGGGATGCCTTCTGCTGGTTTTGGCCCATCTGTTTCTAACACAACCCTTGTTTGGTCTGGGTTCATTTATTATATTCTGGGTTACATCCTCCGCTCTTTGTCCTCGCCCCATGGTTTCTCTTGATGATGGAAATTAGTCTCTTGCTCTTTGATTTCTACATGGTACGAGTGTAGAGGCATGGATCACTTACTGTGAGGAGAAAATAAATTTCAGGTGGCCTGCCTTGTTACTATTACATTTCGTTAGGAATAGGTGAAAAAGTTGGGAATAATTGGGAAGGTTAGTTGGAAGAGTTGGAAAGTTTGAGATTTATCATGAAAAAGCTCTGATTTATTTTGGAGGCTGCGCGTGTTGACTGTATTGCTGTTGTACATCTCTGACACAGCTGACATCTAAGATGCTGGTCTCAGGTTCAACCAAGTCAACTGGGAAGGTTGCACTGTAGTATGGACAGTTTGCCCAGATACATCAGCTTCAGTCTCCTGATACTGGAATGTTTTACACCCATGGTGAGTTCAATCAGCAGCTGCAAGGAGCACGAAGTAGTAGAACACTCAGCTCCATGCATGCTGGTGGCAGTGATTTTAGGGGGCATGCTGGTGATGGGTTGATGGTTGGCCTAGATGATCTTAGTCATCTTTTCCAACCTTAGAGATTCTATGAATTCCCCACGAGCCTGCCTGAGACCTCACTTGCACTGACATGGCCCTGTGGGAGCACTTTTGGTTTCAGTAGCTGTGTTGGAGCACCCAGCTCAACCCAGTGTGCCTGCAGTGCTGCTGTGTGCCAGGTGTGCCTGATGGTCCCAGCCTGCAGGTCTGGAGGGGATTGGTCCTTGATGATAAATGTGGAAACCTACTGCTCAGCCTCTGAGCCAAGGTGAGGCTGAACTCTGAGAAAGTTATGGTGCTGTGCTGCTGCCACATATCTGCTGGGCTGAATGAACTGTTCTTGGATGGACCTGTTTTAGCTGTGGACTCTTCTAATTTGAACTCATTCCACTGGAGTGCGGGAAAGCATTCCAAATTTCAACCAAATAAAGCACATTTCATTATGTTTCTTAGTCCAGTGCACTATGTTAAATTTATAGGATGGCCTGAGGGCACTTGAGCTGTGTTAAGAGGGACGGCTCATAGACACCACGTCTGGGGTGGAAAGCATTGATTTTCGTCCAATAGCTCCATGGGCCAAAGTGGGGCTCAGCCTGCTGCTCCCACACTATACAGATAACCCCGGAATGCTGCTGGTGTGCTGATGCTCCAGTCCTACCCACATCACTGGCTTCCTGGAAGCCTGCTCAGAGCAGCATATTTTTAGCTATTGCTTTCTTGTTTTTTGACAGAACTTCTCTTCTGTCTTGCTGGCCTGCCAGCATTCCATGTTGCTTATTATTGGCTTTCCAGAGCTGTCTGGATGCTCTCTTGGTGGAGGGGTCGTGAGGCATCGTAGTCTGGGGCTGCATGGTGCTGCTTCCTCTTTCCAGATCTGTTGTTGAGATGTTGGACAGGCTGGATGAATTGTTGCTTTGCTCCCCTTCCATTGAAAGGGGATTATTATGCATTATTATGAATTATTAATACTGTGTGACGCAAAGGTTGGAGCAACAGCTGTCGGAAAAACTTCCTCCTAATCCCATCTCCAATACAGACCAGTTTATCTTGCCCACCTTTTTGCTTATGTATTTAAATACCGCAGATAGCACTGGCAGGGTAGACAACAGGCCTCTCAGAAGTGTTTGCCCAGAGGTACTGCTCAGCCATGCATGGATGCTGCAGTGGTGCCGTGTGGACGCTCCAACCCGTGTGTGTGTTTTTCCACTGCTGAAGGGAATGAAGCCCATTTCCTATGTGTGATCCAGTCCAAGCTTGTAAGCTCCTCGTTCCGCTTCCATCCTGCTTTGCCGCAGACTGGATGAAGCCTTTGAACATGAAAAGATGTATTTAACCAGCTCGCCATGGTTGCATATCTGCTTTCCCCAGTGTGTCACCAGTCAGGGATGTTTTTCTCTGGGTTTTGAGCGATTTCTAAAGCGTGATTTCAGTGCAGCATCTTGCATGTGCATGTATGGGGCAGAGGTGTTGCCTCTCTGTGCCAGGACCTGAGTGCTCCGTGCCTGGAGAAGGGGCACTCTCAGCCCTGCTGAGCACAGGAATTGTGCCTTTTCCTTCTTTGCCGGAGCAGCAATAGGCATTTGAGGACAGAATAATTAAGAAAAAAATCAGGGACTGTGGTTAAAAGAAAAAATAGGACACTGGTTAAAAACTTTAATGCTGATTATAGCTCATGAGCCCTTGTCTCTGTGTCAGTAATGGGCAGTGTGGGCTGAGTGATGTGCAGAGCAGCACAGCACCCGGGGCTGCCCTGTGCCACCACAGCTCCCCAGGAGCAGCCCTGTGGTTCAGCTGCGTGGCTTCGTAGGCACAGAGGCTTTTTATGTTAAAAGAGGAAGGCAGAGAGAAAATACACACACACATGCATACACACAGCAGAAGTTTCTGAGCATGAGACGTTTTTTCCATGTCAAGCTGCCAGGCAGTGCTTTTTCCTTCCCTCCCTCCATCCCAGGCTCATTGCTATGGACGTTTTCCTGCCTTTTATACTTTTTTTTCCCTCTTTTGTGTATGATGCAAACTTCTGCAGCTGACAAGGTTTGTAAGGTTGAGGCTATGTTCCATACTGCAACAGGGGGATGTGCTGCAGCTTATTTTAATGCTATTTTAATCCTTGTCCAACAGATTGGTGAGAAGATACTTATTTGAAGTCTATCACTTGCAATTAAATAACACCATCACTGAGAAGATTTGGGAGACTTTTAGCAATTTGCAGAATGGAAATTCCTACTAAAAACATTAGTGTGACCTGGCAGAGTTAGGGCTGAGCTATGAGCCCACGTGGCTGCTGCATTCTGGAGGCTACCAGCTCACATCCCTGTGCTGAGATGATGGAAGGAGCCTGGAGCCCCTTCTCCTCCTGCAGAGCCCCCAGAAGGAAATCTCTGTGTGGGGAAATTACAGTGTTTGGGGTCATTCCAGAACGCAGCATCCCACATTGAGGGCTCAGAGCAAGTATTTCTTTCCTGCCCACTTTTGTTGTGCTTAAGAAAGAGAAACTGAGGCACGTGCCATGTTCACCTGCATCCCTTGGCTCATGTAAATCTTCTTCTTGCTGCAGGAATCACCCGGACCTCCAGTGGGAGACTGCGCAGGCTCAGTGACCAGCCCAGCCCCAGTGAGTTGCATGGGCTCTTTAAGTTTTGAAACATCCTCATCCAATAAAAAACAAAACCAATCAACACCAAATGCAGCCAACCAACCAGTGGACAACAAATGAGTTGGGAGAATGGAAGGAGTAACTCCTGGAAAATGCAGCTTCTGCCTCCCATTCAGTGCAGGCTGCTGATAGATGTAGAGTTCTCCAAGCAGTAGCAGCAGAGCAGCATTTATATAAAAGAGAGCAGTATATATAAAATAACCGTGAAAAGAGAGAGCAGTGTAAAATAAAAGATTAATTACTTACTGAATAATGGATCCAGAGAGAATAATTAGAAAAGCCCATCTCAATTCCAGGGGTCTGACAGCAGGTAACAGAAAGCAGGAATGGCCCGAGGTTGAAATACAGCTTTAGTAATTAGCGTCTCGTTCTTACTCTCTTTAGCTATTATTTTTTATTGGATGTGGAGATTTATGGATTATATGTGCTTATGACTAAATTTACACTCCTAATTGCAGCGTAATGTTTCTGAAGCTGTTTCTGATTCAGAAGGAAGCAGGTGGGAGGGGTTCCTTCTGGAAGGTGTTTGTAGCCTCTGGGAATGCAGTAGAGCTTGGGAGCACCTGAGTCCGTTGGCTCTGCAGTTTGTGTGCTGATTGAGCTGCACAGCATTCATGGAATCACTAAGGTTGGAAAAGACCTCTCAGCTCACCAACTGCAGCCATCAGCCCACCCCCACCATGCCCACTGACCGCGTCCCCCGGTGCCACGTCTCCATGGCTCTTGAACACCTCCAGGGACGGTGATTCCACCACGCTCCTGGGCAGTGTGTGCTGATGCCTCACCACTCTTTTCAGAAAGAAATTGTTCCTAATATCCAACCTGAGGTACAACCTCACCTTTAGCATTGCCCCATCATTTTCCCTGGGATGCTGCTGCTCACCTCTGCTTGAAGAGAATCCTGCTTGCCTGCTCCATACCCAGCACTGCCCATGTTGAGGTTGGAGCTTCCATCCGCTCCCACTCCCTCAATCTTTGTCACTAACAGTTGCTCCCTGTGGGCTCTGTTTGCTATTTCAATTCATCTTCTCAGCCCTCATATCCTGTCTCAGCTCCCAGATGGATTTATCCAAACAGTTGTTGTCAGCTTTTCCCTTTGTGCTGTGGGGAGGAGAAAGCCACCCTCGGAAGCCTTCCTGGAGCACTGACCTCAACATTCTGCTGTATCTGGGCATGAGCACATGTGGGATGGGGATTAGTCACAGGCATCTGGTTTAGGGTGCTCTTAAGGGCTTTGGAAGCTATGACACTGTCTGGCTCGCCTTCATCAGAAGTAGGGACAGGCCCAGAGGTATTGCAGGTACAGTACAGACATGGTGACAGGGACCATGGCACTCGCAGCTCTGGAGCTTCGCAGTTGCAAAGCACTGAGATGCTGTGATGTATCAGTGGATGTAAATGTGCTCTGACAGGATTGTGGCCACAAACTGACATTGGATAGCTGGAAAAATGCATTGTGTAATAAATCAGCATGGAGTCAGTATTGGTCTGGGTGCTGATGGCAGCAGGAGCAGGGAGCTGAGCTGCAATGCAGTGGCAAAAAACTGCCTCAAAACGTGGCCACTGGTGCAGAAGCTGCAAATTTTGAACTGAACTGCATGTTTGTCTGCTGTGTGTGCAACAACAGAACTGCAGTTGTAGCCCTCGTGTAGCATGTTTTCCTATACATATGTCCAAGGACAGAAAGGGGAATTGGTACAGCTCCAAAGGTAACTGGAGTGTGGAGAATCTAAATTGGAAGACACAGCACATTTATTCAATCTTGTTTTCTTTAGGCTCTAATTATATACTTTTCCACTTTTTCGGTGAGAGATCTTTTAAATATTTTTTTTCTAAGTTAAAATCAAATGAGCAACTCAGTGCTCCATTTTACATTGCAGTAAATATTTATGACTCTATATAACTGCAACTCAATTTCCCCTTGTTTCAGATCCAGATTTTCCCCTCCGCACATCTGGCCCTGTACCCAGAAGCTTTTATTCCTATGCAAGATAAATTGGGACTGGGATGACTGAGCAGTGGCTGTAAATGAAGCGTCACAGAAGGGGGCTGTTTTGGGCTCTTTGCCACCCTAAACAAAGAAAGGGATGACATGCATTTCCATAGCCACTGGCTCTTGGGATTCAGATAGCTGCACAGTCATCCACAGACCATCGTATCCCTGGGACACGCAGTGACATTGGGACCCCAAATCTGGCATTGGCTTCTTGTTGGGAACTTTATTCCATGACTCCTCTTGGTTTTTCTTGTAACTTTGAAGGCAGCTGTGTGGCTTGGCAACCAGCTCAGCAGCAATGCTGAGAGTTTAGAGCTTCAGTTTTTGTTTCGTGCAGGACTTCTGTGTAGCTCTGGGTAAGCCATTGTGGTGGGACACATCTGGGCTTCTTGATGGTCAGTGGAGAGAGCTGGTGGCTATCAAAGTGTCTGAGAGCACCTATTTTAGGATAGGTAACAAGCTTCTTGAAGGAACCCATGTCCCCATGGGATTATAGGGAACTATAATTTCTTTGGGGTGGTCTGGCCGTGGGGCTCCAGCTCCCATGGGGAGCAGCTCTGTCCTGGGGTGCAGCCTTCAGCCAGACCTGGGCTGGGAAAGTGGTGGGGTTTGGCACCCTCACCCCCCAGTTGAGACATGAGAGCCTGGATGAGGCTGAGTTTTGTGAGTGGTTTGGAGGCTCTGTTCGGTGTGCAATTGGAAACAGGCAGAGAGAGGGAAATGGGAAGCCCTTTATGAAGGGCTCTGTCAGAGTGCAGTGTTGGCCTCTAAAATGCCACCGTCACCTGATTTTTGGTAGCTTAGGGTAATATTTCTGCAAGGATAAGAACTATGTGTTAGGGAAGTTACTCCCACTTCATTTTCCTATAGCTGTACGTGATGGATTTGAAAGAAAATATTTGCTGACATTTGCCATCCGGAGCAGAGCTGTGTTCCCAAGTAGCAGAGAACAGCCCCAGAGCAGCTGGAGTGGAAGGTATCAGCATCGGGTTCCTCCCAGTTGTCAGCTGCACTCGGACTTTGATTTTCTTCCAGGCTGCAGTTTGGGTTTGCTACGAGGAAGGAACTCCCCATTGTGGAGGCAATATAAGAGGGTCCAAAGAATGGTGTATTTACTGATTTAACTGAACCAGCACATCCCTCCTGGGCACGTAGGTATAGGAGGGAGTGGGATGCCATCCCGTTGTGCTGCTCTTGCACTGCTGCTATTTCAGGTCAGGTGCTTTGTTTGTGAGATACCCCAAAGGGAGAGGAGGGGGACAGGTGCTTCTGCTTTCCTGTTTCAGCCTTTGTCTCTCTGCTGGGCTGTGTGGAGCAGGCAGCTGCTCCCATCCCGGGCAGGCGGTGCAGCCCTGTCCTGCAGTGTCAGCAGCTGGCTGGGAGTCAACCACGGCTTGTCTCAGGGCTTTTTGGAAGCATAATTTAGAGAGGCATAAAGCTCGAGGCCAGCTATCTGGGTTGCATTATAAAGGGGCACTCATTGATGTCATGAAACCCATCATCGAAGCGGTTGGTTTAATGTTGTTTAAATACTTCTGTTGGGACTCCCTCCAGGCCTTATAGCCATGTCAGGCTGCTTGGATTTTGGGTCATCTTGAGTCCCTCGTCCACCCTTTAAGTGGTGCCAAGCTCTAGCACGGCTCTAATTTCAGGGCTATGTAATTAAACAGGCACTTGCTGAAGGGTTCCATGGCTGATGACACACTCATCTCCTTGTGAAAAATGCTTCAGCAGTGCCAGAAAAGAGCCATGCTTCCTTCATTATCAGTCAGCCTGGGGCAGTGTCTCTGTGTGACTCCTTATCAGAGCTGTTGCACAAATAATTCTTTTTTTTTTTCTCATTTTGCTTTTCCCTGCTTAAGTCTGGTGGTTTCCCTTTGACAGGAATTGACATTCCCATTTCACAGAGGAAGACAGCAGCAGAAATGCTGAAAATAGCACTGTTTGCATTGCCTATGAGACTGGGAGTCCTTCTGAGGCACTGAAATGAGAAGCTGTGTGTCCTGGTGGGGGGCTGTGGGCACTAGATTCAATTGGGCATCCCAAATTAGTGAACCCTGATGAAGTCAGATGTTGCAGTGAGGATCTCAAACGCTTGTAATGAGTTTAAGGTAAATATGGCAATAGGTTGTGCTGTTTCCATCTCTTGGTTTAGTCCTTTGGCCTGAGGACGATCTCTCTGTGCTCATTGTTCAAGAGAGCAGCTTTAGAAGGTGAACCAAAATAGTGACAATAAAAGTAATACCAAAAGCCAGCGGCTCCCTAGCCAAGCGTGCATGATTACAGTTATGTAAGCTAATTCAGAGTGCTATAAAAACCATTAGGTCTCCTGAGTTGTTTTTCCCCAGGGAAATACTGTCAGAACTGACAGATCCCTCCTGAAGCTCAGGAGTGAGCATAGCACAGCCCTCTGTGTGCAGCCATGGTTCCCCATCCCTGGAGGTGTCCAAGGCCAGGTTGGATGGGGGTCCTGGGCAACCTGATCTGGTGCCTGATCTAGTGGCTGGCCACCCTGCCTATGGCAGGGAGTTGGAACTAGATGGTTGTTGAGGTCTTTTTCAGTCTGAGCTATTTTGTGATACTCTGATGCCTGAGCAAGTCGAGCTGAGAGCTCCTGCACTAGGTTCCATCCAGACCTTCAGCTTATCCCAGTCTTGCTGAATCCTGCCTTGGTTTCCTGCTGCCGTGTGCCATGTGTCACTCACTACCAAGCTGTGAGTGCAATGAGCTGGGGGAGCACACATCTCTGTGCTGTGATATTTTCAACACAGACCGCGCCTTTCACCTTGGTAGATCTGCACAAGGGTTAACCCAGGACTTGTGGCTGCAGCCTGGTTGTGTTGGACGTGTCCCTACATGAGATCATACACATTTCTTCAGGCGGTCTCTGTTCCCCTTTGTTCCCTGCCCCACACTGGGCACACCAGCTGCGCAGCTCTCCGTGCCAGCGTCCCCATACACT